CAAAGTGTCAACGGTAGATGATATATTGAGTGTCAACGGTAGATGATATTTTGAGTGTACCGAATTGGGTCAAAGCCTCAAAGGTTACGTTCATAGCCGGAAAAGCCGACTATTACCCTATTGGATGCAAGGGTTATAATCACATGGAAAAGTCGACGATATTACACTATAAATAGATTACAACCCTTAATGATTAGTATCATCCAAGTGTCTGAACACATAAAGAAGCATTTAACGAAGTGTAAAAAGAAGAAGCAAAAGCTACAAAAATGGCAAAGACCTTCAACTCCATTTGCTTCACCACTCTTCTTCTCGTTGTCGTGTTGATTTCGGCCGGTAATTTCAATTATAATCTTTTCCAAAATTTCATTTCGTATTCAAACATATATTCATACGTTTGAGAAACATATTTCCTTAAATGTGTCTTTACTTCTTTAATCTCTAACATAGTAAATGAATGGATGTTTCAATATGTATAGAAATCCCAAAGAGCGAGGCTCAGACTTGTAACAGGATTATAGGCGAATCCAGAGCGGGGATTCCATGTAGGAATCTCGATTGTCAAGTTAGTTGCCAAGTGCAGTACCGCCTGGCATGTAGAGGAGTGTGTGAGCGTCTTGATGACAATGAACTGCATTGCAATTGTTATGGTAATAAAGGTTCAAACAAAAAATAAAAAATTGTTATGGTAATTAATAAAATACTGAGATTTACAAATGAACTTGTATCGAATAAAAAAGAAGTAAGAATGTAAGTGTAGTTTCGTTCGATTTAAGTGTGTGTGTGCGCGTATGTTGTCATCTGTTTTAAAAAAAAAAAAAAATTAGGACGAAGCTAGTGAGCTTCGCTTTAATCTTAAGTAACATAGTTGATGAATGGATGTTTCAATATGTATAGAAACCCCGAGGAGAGAGGCTCCGACTTGTAACAGGATTTTAGGCGAAGCCACACCGGGGAATCCATGTAGGAATCTCGATTGTCAAGTTAGTTGCCGAGTGCGGTACCGCCAGGCATGTAGAGGAGTGTGTGAGCTTATTGAGAATGAACGGCATTGCAATTGTTATGGTGATTAATAAGATACTGAGATTTACAAATAAACTCGTATCGAATAAAAAAAAGAAGTAAGACCTAAATGTAAGTGTGGTTTCGTTCGATTTAACTGTGTGTGTATGTTGTCGTCTGTTTTCAAATAAAAAATTAGGTGTTTTGTGTTAATAATAATAAAATCGTTTTGTGTTTTTGTCTACGTTCTTGAATTTTTAAACCATATATACTCTAGACGAAAACATGCAATCTCCGTACGTTCACTTCACAATATCGTTTTTCAGCGGAAACAAATATCGAGCTCTAATTTCTACGTAGTAGGTGATTTCCTAAAACGAATAACTGAGAAACGTTCAGTATGATCAAGAGAGATAGTTTTTGTTTATGGGAGAAATGAAAATAGATTTGAATATTCATAAGAAAATCTACGAAAAGATAAAATTTGGATTTTGGAGGCAATAAAATCAAATTGTCCATACAATAATAATAAAAAAAAAAAGTCATACAATAAACCAAAATCGCAGGGGCCATATGGAACAAAACAAAACAAACAGGGACCATTTGTAGTAACCAAAATTTGTGGGGGCATATGCAATAAAAAGAAAACGTTCGATAAACATGTAAATAAACAATACTCCGAGGAACATATGGAATAAGCAACACTAAATGGAAGATATTGTAATATCACTTAAATATCTGAGCAAAGCTGAGAGACAAGATTACCTTATCCTTAAGAGTTTCTCCTTATCCTCAAACTCACGTATACAGCTATTATAATAACTCCACTGCAATGTCCTTCCTTCCACCATGGCCTCGCCGTGAGAACACAATACTCCAAGTCGTCTTCTTTCTTTGGGAGCAACTCCGTCTCGTAAATCATCGGCACCAGTGGTGATGATGGCGAATAGACAAGCTTAAAGAGACGAGACACCGAGGAAATAGATGCTAAGGTTGTCTTATCTTCATGCTTCAATTCCAAATATGGCCATAACCAAGCTGAGTTTCGTCAAAAACGAGTAAGCTTTATTCTGAAAACGTTTGAGTAGTAAGAAGATAAACGATAGAGTAGGCTTTTAGTTGCTAATCTAATTCAATTTAAGTTTTCATGTCTATACAATGTGAAGTTGTTAATGATCTTATACCATAACAATATTAACAATTTAAGCTTTTCATGATCTACACTAAGCTCCAAACAATTTTTGCTTATACGGACTGATAAGCTAAATTTGGTTTTAGTACAACAACTTTAATCCAATTATTGATAGATGAAAGTCTTATGGTTTTTAGTCTTTTTAGACCAAATCTAGTTTCCGTAGTTGCAGATACTGAAACAATACCAAAAAGAAGGGCGGCTCGTGATCCAAACCAAACCCCTTAGAAGATCTAGCACCTAATATAACCAAAACAATCCAAACCGGCGTTGTAGCTGGCTACGCAAAAAGTAGAAAGAGTCTCGAGCTTGTGACTTTAGCGGCTGGCTGCTACCAAAGCCATGTGCTCGATAAGGTCAAGCACTCGGTTGCTGTAGTAAAATGGGAGAGAGAAGAATGGTAAGTGTTTACGAACTGGTGGCTATAACTAAATTATAAAGATGAGGAACGAGAACTGTACCTGTAACCCCATTCATTGTCGTACCAAGAGACAAGTTTCACAAAGGACTTGCTCAATCCAATCCCGGCGTTGGCATCGAAGATACTTGACCTGTTATAAAAAAAAAAAATGGACATCAACACATCGGTGAAGGACAGAGACAAGACTCCTCTGGATGTATAGATAACTTTGAAGGAAAAGAAGAGAGACCGACCTTGAATCACCCACGAAATCATTGGAGACGACATCTTCATCTGTGTACCCGAGAATACCTCTAAGAGGTCCTTCTGAAGCAAACCTATTAGAGGTTTTATATTAAACAAACCATTAGAGGTTACTACTCATGAAACAGTCACATTTTGATGAGGAAAGTTGGTTTGTTAAGAGAGTTTTGGGAAGCTTACTTGATGGCTGCTTTAACATCTTCGTAAGAGGCACCCTTCTCAAGTCGACAAGTTAAATCCACTACAGAAACGTTCGGTGTTGGTACACGGAAGGCCATTCCCGTAAGTTTCCCATTCAGTTCTGGAAGAACTTTACCTACAGCCTATTCAAACCAAAAAAACCAGAGCTCAAACATGATTCCAGATTTAGGATAATTACATCCTTGTAGATAACCATGTGGTTTTTGTGTACCTTTGCAGCACCAGTTGAGCTAGGAATGATGTTTTGACTAGCACCACGGCCTCCTCTCCAGTCCTTGCTTGATGGTCCATCAACAGTTTTCTGAGTAGCTGAACATAGAAAGAAAAAATAAACGAAAGACACTGGTTAGTGTTATACTGTTACCAGGTTTATTAAGGAGAGTAAAAAATGTAGACCTGTGGTTGCGTGGACAGTTGTCATCAAGCCTTCAAGAATACCAAATTCCTCATGCACCACCTGCCAAATACAGTTAAGTTGACCTTAATGAAGCTCTTAGCAATGAATGATTTATGCGCAAATACAAGCACAAATTAAGGATAGGATCATTGTGTGACATTACCAACCTTGGCAAGAGGTGCAAGACAATTGGTGGTACAACTTGCATTGGAGACTATATCCATGTTTGGTAGGTATGTCTTCTCATTTACCCCAACAACAAACATTGGTGCATCAGCTGAAGGGGCAGAAATTATTACTTTCTTTGCACCACCCTGCAAAACCAACGAATTATCATGTAAGTAAGCATATCTCATCTTAAAACAAGGTTATTTGAATTAAATGTTATCACAAGTTAAGAGGTCAACAATGTATGTTTGTATGAAAATTTAACCTTCAAATGAGATGCAGCCTTTCCCAGGGTGGTGAATACACCCGAAGACTCAACAACATAATCAGCTCCAAGATCAGCCCATGGGATCTCAGCTGGATCTCTGAGGAAGAATAAAAACGATGTTAAGTTCGAAAGTGAGATAGCGTGTTCACTGATCTGCAGAAAGTAACATGCGACTTTGAAGCGATACCTCTTGCTAACAAGATTGACCGTCTTCCCATTGATCTCCAAAGTAGAATCATCAATGACGTTGATGATTCCCTTGAAATTCCCATGAGTAGAATCATACTTCAGCATGTAAGCCTGTGAGATAGGGGGATAGAAGATCTATGTCAAGTTGAAAAACCAGATATTTGTTCACTGGAAAAGAAGACTAAATTATGATCCATCTTTCAAGGTTTTCTCAATCAGTACGGGTTCAAGCAAGCAAGAAAGTAACTCAGATTAAGAACAGAGCATATATAGCAATTCAAGAAATATCCTCCTAAAAATAACCAGCTAGAAGACATCCTTACCATGTACTTGGCATCAATGAATGGGTCATTCACTGCCACAACGTCAATATCATCCCTGGATGTTGCAATGCGGAGTACCAACCTTCCAATCCGACCAAAACCTGCAACACTCATAGCCAAAAAAAAGAGCTTCTGTAAGATACAATAAAATTGGGGGTTCACAAAACATTCTTAAGAAAGTAGATGATAATCTGGTACTTCAAACGAATCCATCAGTCAATAAAGCACATACCATTGATCCCAACTTTTGTCTTTCCGCTGCTACCTGACCCTACTCAAGCCAATAAAATCAAATTCACACCAATAAGCATACAACACCAAACACATCAACTGAAGTAATTTTCTTCTTACTTACTTTGAATTGCAGGTGGCACTTGGGTAGCTGTTGCCTTGATGGGTTGCACACTTCTTGGCCTAGTAGCAATTGCAGCACCACGAAATCTTGATGATTTCAGGCTACGATTGATTCCAAGACTTGACGACACCTGCGTATTTGAGTCACAAAGGAATAAATACAATTGTTTCTCTTGCAAAGGTCCTTAGAAAATACATAACTCCAAAATCTAAGCATATAACTTAGCTTCTAGATAATTGTTGAATTAAACTACCTGAAGCTCATAATCTGATCAGATAACACACAAATGTATGCCACTAAACATTCCAATATCCCAACAAATCAGATTTCAAAACCTCATGCCATTTCAACAAATACGAGACCGTCACCATCACACTTTGAGTAACTCAGAACAAAGCTAAAGGAGATACATATATCAACATCAAACTACTACTTCGACG